TTTTTTTTTTCTTCTTAGTACCACAGGTATATTGAGATTGCAATCAAGCAGTGCAGAAGCTCTGGGATTGATTGTAAAATACATGGCCTCAGCATACTGGGCCGTATACGTGCAGAGGATGAAGATCTGGCTGCTGTCCCTTTCCTTGCTTCTGATAATGAGGAAGAGGATGACGATAAAGCTAACACTGGGAGGTAGGTAACTGCAGAGGTGGGGGAAATGATAAGGAACCTTAGTGTCTATATATATTCCTATAATTTGGGAGATTGTTCTAAGAGCAGCAGCTTAATTAGGTTGAATGTTAGTAAAGAGAAATCAGTATCTTAGTTTGTTGGTATTGTAAGTAGGTCATTTATTGATAAATAACTTCTTTAGGATTATCACACTGGTAAGATGATAGCATTTTGTACAACTCTTCTGCTTCTGCAGTGTACTTGGAGTTGAAAACCTAGCTAAATGTATTTATATTTGGTACGTGGGACGTGTATATTTACCGCTGCTTAGCAAAACATTCTGGGTGGGGTTTTTTTGTGTTTCTGTGTTATAGCCGCCAATTAACTGTGGTGGTGTAGTTTGAGTACTGAAACTGTTACAAACTGTAAAATTAATAAATGCAGTAGAACGGTGCCTATGCTATATAGCATGCAGGTTGCTAAACTGACTTTGGTTTTTTTCCTCAATATGTTCAGCCTTGTTAGAAAGAAGGCAGCTGGGCTTGAATCGGCAGCTACAATAAGAACCAAAGTTTTTGTTTGGGGACTGAATGACAAAGATCAACTGGGAGGCCTAAAAGGTTCCAAGGTATGTTTGTTGGTTTTGTACTTCAGTACAAAACAGAAACAGCTAAAAATAAAATGTGCAAGTCTCACATAACTCAAAATGAATTCAAATATAATCACAATTTTACAGCCCAGTATCAAAAGCTACGAAGAGTAGATTTTAATGGCTTTTTACTGTTAAGACATATAGATGTCTGCAAGGTGGAAAACTGGAGAAAATTTACATTTTGGTTGTTACTCTGAAATCCAGTTTGATTTTAGCAGCCACTTAATCATTTCGTTTAGACAATAGTGAACTAATTGTTCTAAAAATGTGTAGCACTACATATTCTGTTCCTTTTGAGTTTGTGTGCATGAAATGAAGATATTGGTGAGCTTGTTTGATGTATTACTTGTACCTGGAGCTCATGCAGTCATTGGAAAAAACCCGCTGGATTCTAATCTTTTGTTTGGTGTAACTTGACTAAAATTCAGTGTAATTCGAGAAGAATTTCAGCCCTGTGTGCAGCCATTTACACATAATTTTTAATACAATCAATGTACGATGGGAGATACATGACGAAAGTTTAGTCAATTTAAGTAGTCTGAAAAGTATGTTAAGAGAGTGCTTCTTCAATTTATGTTGTAAATAAAATGTCTAGTCTTGTGTCTGTAGAGTGCCTTTCAAGAAACAAAGTTAACTATTACAGTATTCTTGGGTTTTCCCAAGAAAACTTTAGTAAAACAAAAGTCTTTGTTTATATCACATTTCATTTTTTCTCAGATTTTGTATTTATCATGGTTTCAGTATTAAATGTCTTTTCTGGGTTTCTGTCTTTTGCCTGACGTACCTTAACTGGTATGTGTGAAGTGTCTGAATAATACAGGGAGTTTCATATATTTAAAAACCCAAAAATACCTGTTAGATTAACTGGTTCATCACTTAAGAATAACTCTTCTTTTTAAAGTATAAAGCTTTAAAGTGTATTGTAATGATCTTTATTTCATTTCTGCTCTAGATAAAGGTCCCTTCCTTTTCTGAAACCCTGTCTGCCTTGAATGTTGTACAAGTAGCTGGAGGCTCCAAAAGCCTTTTTGCAGGTAATAAAAGTTTAAAATAAATATTTAAGGGCAGAAACAGATTTCCACTTGTGAAACATTAATGGTGTTTCAAACTTTTTTTTTTCTTCATTTTAGTGACTGTAGAAGGTAAAGTATATGCCTGTGGAGAAGCCACAAATGGAAGGCTGGGTTTAGGAATATCTAGTGGAACTGTGCCTATTCCCCGCCAGATTACAGCTCTCAGTAACTATGTGGTAAAGAAGGTGGCTGTTCACTCAGGTACTGACTATTGCTGTTCTTATGTACATAAACATACCATATTAAGCCTGAAAGTAGTTGCTTTGCAATTTTCTTGGGGGCTGTGATGCTCCAGCATATCTGAATGTTTAAAATTTTTAAAAATAAATACAGGGTATTAAATTCCATGTCTTGCATAGAATGCCAGATTAAATCTAATGGTTCTGTTATTAAAATCTATTATTTTAGACTATACACGGTTTCTTACCAAATTTAACATCCAGCAAGTAACTTCTGAATAGTTTTTCAGTCTGATCCAAAGGAAGTTTGTTCATTTTTGACTATTGCTAAATGGTGTGGGTCTGGTTTGGTTTTTGTGATGTATTTTTCCTTGCAGCATTGAAAATAGCAAATTGAGTGTTACTTCTTTTTTTTCATGTGCCAGGAAGTGTACTCTCACACAAGTTTTGTGTTTTATGTTAAATCACATAAAAATAAGTAACGTGTATTGGGTTGAAAAACTTGTACAGTTACATTGTAGAAGTACAGCAGTGTCAAATTTCTGAGATTTTTGCTGGGCCTGCTTGAAAGCTTGAAAATACAAATTTCTGTTTACACTTTTAGGTGGCCGGCATGCTATGGCATTAACTGTTGATGGAAAGGTATTTTCATGGGGTGAAGGAGATGATGGAAAACTTGGTCACTTCAGTCGAATGTAAGGATACCAAATTTGTCTGTTTTTCAGCACAGGAGAATGAATATGTGTTTTGCATGTTATAACATGGCTGACCACCACTATTGACAACAACAGGATTTTTAATACAATGGGAATAAAAAATTGTGTTGTGAAGAGATTTTTTTTTTTTTTATTCCAGCTGTGTATGTCGATTTATGGTGCATCATTTGTAGCAGTCTTCAGTCATTTAAAAAGGAAACATTCAATTAATACAGTACTTGGGAACATACTTAGTGGTTAAAGTCTTTAGTAGTGTTCTTGAACATAACTGGCACACTTTTGGACATAGAGTTTTTAGTTACTTATATAAGGTAAGGTTTACAGAGTTGCCTTGAGGTGTGAAACCAGACAGTTTTATGTTCCTGAGCTGTAACAGTTCATAATGAAAGCCTGATAGTATTTTGTAACATTTCTTTAGACGTATGTTCACAAACCTGTTAGCCAGAGATAAATTTCTTACACTTTCAGTAATATATAGTTTAATCCTCCACAGGACAGCTTTGAGGAAAATTTGAATTGTCTCAGGATTTTTCTTTGTAGGCACCATAGAACAAGGTTTTGAGAGAAAAAAAATAACCATAGCCCATGGGGAAATCTTTGTTTGTCATTCTGATACGTTTTGAAGACCTGCTCAGAATACATAAAAAAATTACATTGCCAAACTCAGATGGTTAATACATGACAACAAATAAATGTTCATTGGGGTTTGTGTGCCAGATCAATGAAAAGAGCAGTCCATATTAGAGCAGTATTGTTGTTTATTGTTCAACTGCCTCCCTCATGTTTTCTCTAATTTTATTAAAAATAAGACCTGGAGCTCTTGGGCATTCCATGGGAACAAATTTTCCAGAGACCATGCATGATTTTATAAAATGTTAATAGTGGCTCTGATATACAGTCAATATTAGAAAAAAATGAGTTAAAACTCTTCCCTACATGTTGAGAATATCGTAACCATATGAATAGTAAGTTTCCCGTACTCTCACAGAAGCCTAACAGTAAATTCCAGTTCTAATTTCTCTCTCATAAAGAGCAAAGTTGGGATGGGAGTGTCATCTGTTAATCTTATTATCTGGCTCTGTGTCCACAGCTAACTTTTTCACTTTGTATTAAACACTTTCTGATTGATTCATCGCTTTGATATTTTGGCTTT